AAAAAAAAAAAAAAAAAAAAAGTGTGATTAAAGTGTACTCACTCAGCTACTAAGCCACTAGAAGCTGCAGAGCCTGCCTCCATGTTCCAGACTTTTCCGATGTGGCAGCCAGTGCGTTGCAGGCGATAAGGTTGACTTGGAGATGACTGGCCATAAGCTGCTCGAAAATGCAATGTGCAATGAGCCATTTTCCGGCCTTTGCGCAGGCACTGATGACGGCACTGTGCGTCACAACGTTTGGGCTCACTTCGCCTGCCTGCATCTCCACGAATAGTACTAGAGCTCTCTCCCATTCCATAGGTTTCTCACAGGCACTGATGGCCGCGCTGTAGGTGATGACGTCAGGCTCTGAATGAATTTCCTGCAATGCGGAGATCAACTCCAAAGCCTGCCGCCACGCTGCAGCTTTTTCGCACGCACTGATGGCGGCATTGTAGACAGCCACATCGACCTGCAGCTTCTGCTGGGTGAACGCAAGCAGCAGCATCCTCAGATTCTTGGAAGGAAGAACCTCCACTAGCCCCTAATGCAGGGGATGTGGGGGGGGGATGTTGGATCATTTTGAGGAAGCCTATAAGATAATGATCTTTGCTAGTCACTCCGACGTATATAACGGCCCCAAGTCGATCCGATGCGCGTCTAAAGTCAGACATTGGAACCAACAAAAGGCTCACTACCACACCCTTTGCCCTAAACCCGAACAGAACGGACTGTTGTGGGCGTGTGTATTGCAAGTACTTTCAACCCCAAACCCAAAGTAACTGAGACCCTAATCAATCCTACGAGCCCTAAACTACACAAGCCTTGGGTCAATGCAGCTTCCCAGGCTGCAGCCTGCCAACACTGGAAGATGGCGTCTGCTCGGTTTCGGGAAGCGGCCGGGGATTTTTGACACTCACACTCGGACTTATCCAGGCAAGGTCTGGGCTTAGGGTCTCAGGATTTAGGATTTTGGGGATCTGGGTTCTGAAGAAAGGTTATATACCTTTTCATTCGTGCGACTATAAGAGGAAAGCATCTTGTCATGGACCTAAGATCTCGAGCCCTTTACCGAGAACCTGAGTTGATGGGCGTGGGTTTATTTGTTTGGGTTGTTGCAGGAATTGGGCTCGATTCTGAGAATAGCAGCTTGCCCCAAGATGTAGAGCAACTGCTGTCATGTGGGGATGTGATAATTGGAATAGGATGCTATTATTACAGTATGATAATAAAGAATGCTACTATTACAGTATGATTCGTATAATAAAGAACTCTCAGAAATGATTGTGGTATGCATTCAGGCTTCTATCGCTCCCACCTTGAGGAAGCAGGAAGGCCCAGGCATGAGAGACCAGAATGTCCCAGGTCGTAAACCCTACTTGCAAGTTCATGGGTAGTTATAAATAGGGTTATGGGGTTCCTGTAAGGGTTCCTTTAAAGGGTTCTATAGGGTTTAAGGTTTAGAGTTTAGGGGTAGTTATAAGCAGGGTTCTAAGTCCACTAATATGGGTTATAATTACAGTTTCCCTACTTATAACCCCACTTATAATTACCCATGAACCTCCAAGTAGATGCACAGCCTAAACCCAAAGCCCAGTCCAGCCTATAAACACCTTAAACGGACCCTAAACCCTACACCCTAGCCCCTATAAGCCCTAAAACATGCACACCCTAAACCCCCCAAGCTCTGAGGCCCCGAAGCTTCAAAAGCCCAAAGCTGTAAAGGCTGGAGCCCTCAGGGCGTACGTTGCGAGACCCGCCGAACCTCCTCGCAGGCGCGGAGTGATGCCTAGGCTCAGCAGCGGACCCCAAAATAACAAGGGTTGAGGGGTTTAAGTTTAAGGTTTCCCTTTTTCCTAAAACTCTGGCCGAAAGGAGAAACATTAAGCTCTAAGCCCAACACCCGGAAACCTGAGCTACCAAAACCCTAAACCTCGAAAGCCCACATAAAACCCCGACAATCCCCTACAGAACCCTCATAACTCCGTATATATGACTCCCCTCATTGCAAAACTTAGTTGCTGAGTTCACAAGCCCCGAAAAGTGTACACTTTCGGTTCTATAAGGGGTCGTATTATCCCAAAAAGTGTAAAGTGTACTCACTCAACTACTAAGAAAAAGTAGCACTGCAAAGGAGCCGAGAGGCTGAGCAGGAGATGACGTCGCTGCGCAGGCGCAGCTTCCTTGGCTTTGGGGATCTTTAGGGTTTAGTGTTTATAGGGTTTAAGGTTTAGGCTTTAGGGTTTAGGGTGCCGGGTCTACCTGGACCCCAAAGAACCTACCTTTTTAGGGTTCCTTATGATGATTTCTTTGCATGAGTCCTTAAAAAGGTAAGTTCTTTGGGGTTAAGGTAGGGTTTAGTTTAGGGTTTCGAGCCCACAGGGGAGCATTCAGGAAGAGACCTTAAGTTGTGGGCGCATTTATATTGTGCTGATTATGGTTGTTAGGGCTTTTAGCGTGTTGGGGCTTACCTATACGGCCCAACACCTGCAAAAAGGCTGTTTTCTGCATCTTTGGGGTGGTCCAAGTAGGGTTCGAGGTTTCAGGGCTTGGTAGGTTGGGGGTTTAGGGCTTCGGGCTGAAGGCTTGCAGGTTTCGAGCCTCACACTCGCACGCAGCAGGCAAGGCTCCACACAAGTCCGTCACGCGAGCAGCCACGCATGACACGCGCACCACTCGGCTCCACAACATATGACTGCCAGATTCAACAGCCACGAACCGGCCAACAGAGCTGCCCGTATAGGACGAAAACAAATACTACGCGGTAAAACTAATCACACCAAGAGCTAGGTCACGGAAACAGCTCGTCGGCAATGACTGTTTCAAAACTACTGTAGCTAGCCTAAACCATGCCACAGTCTCCACGTGTCTCATCAAGCATGCACCTGAATTCCCACTTCTCCACAACGTGCTCACTGAAAATTCCGTCCCCTCTCATTGTCCATGCATGGGGTTAAGGTGTAAACTTAAATAATTTAAGGTACATGGTTTCGGGTTTAGGGTTTAGGATTTAGGGTTTAAGGTACGTGGTTTGGGGTAGGGCTACGGTTTGGGAAGCAGAGTTCAGCGTTAAGGGCCCGAGCCCGAAACCCCAAGCCTAAACCGCCTGGGCTTCAGGGTTTGGAGAGGTTATAAGAATTCGGAGTGAGGAGTCTGCCTTTATTAAAGCCAGTTGGGCTTCTATACTAAACAGCCTGTACACCAGATTCCCATTCAGCAACCCTGATAGAAAGCCCTAATTACCTAATTACGGTTGACGGGTTAGGGTGTGAGGAAGCGATGGGGCTTTGGGACTTCGGGCTTCGCGCTACAAGACTCGACACCCCTAAACCCCGAACTCTGGGACCCTCGAAAAGTTTGCAGTCTCCATGGCCCAGAAGACTTGCATAGAGCCTCAAACATCATAGTCATAGAACTTGTTCCTTGGTTGCCATTGTTTAGAATGATGTCGCTGTTATCATTCGAACTGTCTTATCTTTGCAGCCCTAGAAACCTTAAAAACCCGACTCTCGGAAACCCGAAATCCGACTTGCCAGGCAAGCTGCCAGTTGGTTTCGAGCAGTTGCAAGGCCTTCAGATGGCCCATGGGTGGTGCCACCCAGAGAGCCCAATAATACCTCTAATTAAGAAATATACCTTTAATTCTGTCTTGCCTTGGTAATATAGTTTTGAGATATATTCCTTAATCAAGGGGTATGACGCTCTGGGCAAGGTCGAGGGGTTTCTGCAGCTGTTTAGGTCTAGGGTTTAGGAGTTCAGGTTCAGGGGTTCAGGGGTGTGGTGTTTGGGATTTTGAGACATGCCCGAGTAGGGGTCTGGGGAATCCCCGCCTAAGCCAACACAAGCAATACGCTTGTTGTTTCTCTGCTTCTCTCGCTCTCTCCCTCTCTCTCTGTCTCTCCCTCCCTCCCACTCTCCCCGTGGTGCCTGTTTTGTTTTGGATTGAGCTCGCTGCACATTCAGCACTGCTGCTCCATTCTAGGCGTAGCCCTCCGACCCTTTTACATTGGCCCTAGCTGAGGTCTGAACATGCTACCCCAGAGCCCTACACCAAACGTGATACCCTAACCTGAAACCCTAAACCCCAAACCTGAACGTAAACATCCCACATATAAATTACCCATGTGTCGTGGGCCTGTTGCCACTTCCCATCTTGAGCACAAGCACTGACCACTGTGTTACCTCAGCTCTCTCCACATTAAAACCGCAAACCCTGAACCTTGAACCCTAAACCCTGAATCCTGAACCATAAGCCCTGAGCCCTAAACCCTGAACCCTGAGCCCTCAACCCTGAACCCTAATCCCTGAACCCTTTGCAATCCAGGAGGTTGAGGGCTTCTTTCCAGCCTCTTGTTCAGGGACTTCGGGTCTTGGAAAATTCTGTGAAGGCCGGGTGGTTGTGTCCTTTAAGGGTTCCTTTAAAGGGTCCTGTAAGGGCTACTATAAGGGGTTAGGGTTTAGGGGCCTCAACACTTCGAATCGCGTTTTGGGGCCCATTATACTCGAATTATCGTAGGTAATTATTCAGGCCCCTATATAAATTGGGTTTAGGGTTTAGGGGGTTTAGGGAGTTTAGGGTTTCGGGGGTTTAGCATTTAGGGTTTAGGGATTAACAAACTTAGCGAACTAATTGTAACTTTTTCAAATTTGCTGACACCAAGGGGTCCAAACTCAAACTTTTAGGGTCGATGGACAATTCCCGTAAATTTGGAAAATCCCATATCATGCTTCAGAAACCCGTGCCTAACTCGTAGGCTACAGGATCAACCATTCACGGCCATGTCAACAGCAAACAACATCAACCCGAGCTCCGTTTTTGGTACTGTAACTTGCAAACTCGCAAACCCTAGGGGCGCTCTAAGCCCTGAATATGTCCTCAAGTGACGAATAGAAGACTCGAAACCCTAAACCCTAAAACCCTAAACCCTGAACCCCTAAACCCTAAACCCTATAACCCCCCTAAACCGATTCGAGGCGCTTGTGATCAAGTTCGGAAGCAGCTTTCTGTCTGCCGCCTCCCACGCAAGCTGGTTTGCCTTGGCTGCAGGTAAACCCCTACTGAAATCCTGCAAATGACGATGAAGAGGCACAAGATGATCAGTATAGGACGGTGGTAGTGACGGTAGCTGTTAGTGCTTCTGTTCCTGCTGCCCATCCCCGCTAGTTTCGCTCGTTTCTTCCAGCTGTAGCTGCCGCTCCTGCTCCTGCTCCTGGTTGCTGTTGCTACTGCTGCTGCTTCTCATGCTGCCGTGACACCTGCTACCAAAAGGTGACATGCCGAATGGCTTGTGCATTTCTCTGTCGCTCCGCCTTGCGTGCATGTGCACACATGCACGATAGGCCACAGTCCATGACATATACAGTCGACATCAATGGCTGAAATACATACACGACTTAGGATTTAGGATACCGATCAGTTATGTACCCTGTATACATAGTCAGACGAATACTGATGACAACAATAAAAATCACAACAAAACAGTAGTAGTAGTAGTAAAGGAGTAGGAGTGGTCGGAGTAGTAGTACAAATAGTCGCAAAGATTATATATGTATGTATATATATAATTATATATATATAGAGATACACACATAAGTGCCTTATATGGTCAGCGGCCCTCCTCAAAAGCTCCATGCCAGTGAGCTGCACGTTGCCACCTTGCAGCTCTCTCGCAGCAGCTAACAGAGGCATTGAACTTCACAAGGTCCGGCTGCAGCTGCATCTCCAAAACGTTGCCAAGCAAGAAGATACCTTGCTTGATCCTTCTAGTACAGCCGAAGATATGTTGCTGGTTCTAAACCGGAGGCTACTCGGTTAAGCCACCTCATTCTCTGCAAAATTCCGGTAAAGCAGCCTACACCACGTTTTTGATACATGCTCCCAGTAAATGCATGTCAATGCGGCAAGGACCTTGCTGATGTTATGCCATGATGCCTTGCGCCCATGCCGCAGCATTCCCAGTCGCAGTGATGCCTGCACCATACGTAATCACATTCGGTCGCAGAAGCATGTGCTCCATATCCCGCAGGAGCATCTGCGCTTGCAGCCATTCGGACGATACACCGCATGAGGTGATTGCCGCACTGTACACGATCACATCGGGATAGAGAAGAATCGCACGAGCCAGAGTCACATGCAGAACGGCCTCGTTCCAACGACCCGGGCACTTTGCACAAGCGCTTACCACTGCACTGCAGGTGACAACGTTCGGCTGCAGGTGTCGGCTTGGAAGCGAACAAAGTAGACTTCCTGCAGCATTCCACTTCGCAACCTTCTCGTAACAGCTGATAGCAGCACCGTATGTGACGACACTTGCCTGTAGTCGGCACAGGCCAACCTCTGCAAAGAGTTGTAAGCCTTGGGACCACTGATCCAGTCGGTTCCATTTGGTAATGAGCTGCGTGTGGGTGAAGATATCAGACACTAAACCTGGCATTTTCCTTGGACCACCAGCAAACTCGAAAGTTGAGGCTGTCGCCCGAATCCCTCAACGTGTGTTCAACGAGGCAGCTGGAGGCATCCGAATCGAAGCCTCAACACCCTCAATCTTGCTAGAACGTCCGACTGCCTTCGACCTTCGATGATGAGTTACTAGATACAGTACGCACCATTCGAAGACGCGTGTCGAGGGTATACCTTGCGGGCCTTACCGACAGCTTAGATGCCATGCCGCTAAGACGCTGAGCTTGCTTTCCTCAGCGCAGATATACCCCAACATCCCACTTCAAAATGCAAGTCATTAGTCTGGCAACTACTAGGTGCTTTGATTCTTGGACAGAGGTATCAGGAAATGTAGCATGTCAGCATTCGGCACGTCAGAGCTGTGGAACTTTTTCCAATCCCAACAGTAACGTCGGATCCAAGCTCTCGGCCAGGATCTCATCAAAGGCCCCCAGCAAGTGCAGCGTCGGCTCTGGTTGTCCTGCGTGCTCGCAGGCCGAGATGGCATGACCGTAAGTGACGGCGTCAAGTTCGATGCTGCTGGTCGCTGCCGCGGCCATGAGGACGAAAGCCTGCCGCCATTCAGCTGCATGCTCGCAGGCACAGATGGCCGAGCTGTATGCGATCAGATTCGGCTGCCCGGCAGTGGCGGAAAAATCCGCGAGCAGCAGAACTGCATGCTGCCAGCGGCTGGCCTTCTCACATGCACTTACCAATGCACTGTAGGTAATAATGTCTGGCACTTGTCTGGCAGATTGCAGCTGGCTCAACAGCAGCACCGCTTTCCTCCATTCAGCTGCCTTCTCACAGGCACTGATTGCAGCATTCATGGTGACCAAGTTCGGCTGCAAGCCCTCTTTGGCGAGGCTTGACAGCAACACCAGCACTTGTCGCCACACGCCGGCTTTCTCACAGGCGCTGATCGCAGCACTGAAGGTGACGACAGAAGGGCTCAAAGGTCCTTGCTGAACCTCGGTCTCGCATATGCATCGATATTCTCCTTGCTATCATGATGATGCTCATCGTCATCCTCCCCCTCGTCCTCACAATCTTCTTCTGCATGCTCATGCCCATGCTCATCCTCATCCTCCTCCACCTCCTCCTCCTCCTCATCGTCACCATCGTCACCCTCATCACCATCATCATCATCATCAGTCGGCATCATCGTCGGCAAGGTCTGCAGGTTCACCAGCTCCATGACAACCTAGCCAACCAGGAGCATCCCCACCACAGTGACAGTTAAACATCGTTGTCATGATCATCATCATCATCACCATCATCATCATCACCCTCCTCATCATCATCATCATCACCATCATCATCGTCACAAACACCACAATCAACGTCGTCGTCATTGTCTATCTCCTACACAATTCCATCAACATCGTCATCACCGTCACCGCCGGTCACCATCATAATCACGGCCACCGTCGCCGCCATCGTCACGAAGGGCAATGATGGTCGTCGTCGCGGCACTTATCGTTGTCGTGGCCGACGTGGCCGGCATGGATTGTGCTCGTGATGGTGGCGGTGGTCGGGCGTGCAAGGTGAAAATGCGGTGGTGAATTTTGTGCCGGTGACTTGGGGATTTACGACAAACAACGGTCGTGGTGGCGGTCAGAGTAATTGTCGTCTTAGCTGCGTTGACTTGTTAATATGTCTTTTCCTGTGCATCCTCCTCCTGCTGCCACCATTCTGTTCTGGCTATACTTGGAGGTTCATGGGTAATTATAAGTAGGGTATAAGTCCCCTAATATGGATTATAACTATAGTTGCCCTACTTATAACCCCACTTCATGAACCCGAAACCCTAAACCCTACCCTCCAAGTACTGATAAACCTCCCCTGAGATTCCCAAACCCCTATCTGAGGAGAATATATATATATATATATATGTGTGTGTGTATGCATATTTGTATGTATATATACACACATGAAAAACAACGATTACAGGAGCCCGACAACATGATTTAACGTCTATTCCTCAATTATATTCGGGGATTTGGAGTCTCTAGGTGGGAATTGCACCCAAGAGCTCGGGAGGGGAGCCCGATGGAGGTGAAGTGGGGATCGCAGGGATAGGGTGTAGGGTTTTCGGGTTTAGGGGTTTAGGGTTTTCGGGTTTAGGGCTTCAGGGTTTTAGGGTTTGGGGCTTTCGGTTTAGGGTTTTCGGGTTTAGGGCTTTAGGGGTTTAGGGTTTCGGGTTTAGGGATAGCGTCTGGCAGGGTTTAGGGTTAATACATGCGGGTTTAGGGATGACCCTATGGCCCTAAACCCTGTGCAGGCCCTATAATTAACAAGCAATACTCTAGTACACCTTTCGTAACACCTATAAAGATATACCATAGCCCCACACCCTTATCTGGTTCCCTGTTAGGGCTATATTAAAAAGATCATGTTTAATCCTTCTTGTGTTTTACTATAACAAGAATGTAACATTGTAATTGTATCCAACAAAGACCCAGTTATAAGCAATGTTACCCCCGTCTAGCCCCAACATAATACCCTAGAAGTAGAACCCACCTATAGTTATAAAGGATCCGGAACCCCTAACCTTTAAGCTTTAACCCCTACCCAGAGAGCCCAATACCCCTTAATCAAGGAATCTACCTTAAATCATAAGATTAAGGCCCCCCTAGTTTAAGGTATGTTCCTTAATTAAGGGGTATTGGGCTCTCTGGGTATACAGCCCGCGGCACCTCAAGGAGCAACTGGAGGGCCAGCTTCCACTCAGCCGCTTTCTCACAGGCGCTGATTGCAGCGTTGTAGGTGATCTCATCGGCTTCGTAGGAGCTTTCCTGGGTCACGCGAAGTAAGGAGCACAATCGGCTACTGCAGCAGTATAATAAGACTCTGGAAGGAAGACTCCCTCTTTCTTGATATCATGGATAGTACGGTACCGGCCATCATCTTCATGAGCAGAATAAGAACCAAGAGCACGCGACACATAAGGATGCGAAGATCCCGGAACCCGAAACATTGAATTAATCCGAAAGGCTCACAACCCCAAGAACGTAGAACCCCAAACCCTAAACTCCAAACCCAATCCCTAAATCCAAAACCGCTCGCAAGCTTCACCCAGGCCAGCGAGGAGTAGCAGTGCTTCTGGCCACTTTCCGGCCTCGCTACTGTTGATGATATGAACCCTGCATTACCTCAAGGACCCTAAACTATGGGAATCCTGGTATATTCCTGATTATGGGTAATACAGAATTTGCTTCAGCAACCGTAGTGTCTGCTTTTGGGGGTTGATAAGGCTCAGAGGGTTCAGGCTTAGGACGTAGCGAGGCATTGAGAGCTTTAGGCTCCACTGTTGGAGACTTGACATAATGTAGGGGCCTTAATAATTAGAATAGGGCTTGGGGGTGTTATAGTTGTACGATAAAAGAGCCCAAAACCCTATTCTAATTACTAAGGCCCCTATAGTTGGATCTCTAGACTTTGGGTCTGCAGAGTTTCGTGATCGCTTGGGTGCGAAGTCACGAAGCCAGATCGCCCCAGCGACTACAAAGCGGTTTAGGGTTTAGGGTTGAGGGTTTCGGGTTTAGGGTTGCCACCGCCATGCCCTGGCCTTGCAATGAGCATCACAGACAAGTTAACGTGGCTGCCACACTAAAGGGTGCGTTTAGTGTTTTCGCGTTTTCGCGTTCCCAGAGACTCCAATATCCCTTAATTAAGGAATATACCTTAAATCATACTAGGGATCCTACTATACTTTAAGGTATATTCCTTAATTAAGGGCTATTGGAGTCTCTGGGTTTACGCTCAGGGCATGAGGGAACTTAACCCTAAACCCTAAGCCCTAAACCCTGAACCCTAAGCCCTAAGCCCCTAAACCCAAACCCTTGCAAGTCGGTTCCTTCTCGCAGGCGCTGATTGCTGTGTTCCAGGTGATCAGATCCTCGGTGTTTGAGGAGGTCTGAGGCTTCGGGTTTTTGGTTTAGGGGTTTAGGGGTTTAGGGGTTTAGGGTTTAGGGTATAGGGTTAGGGGTTGGGGTTTGCGGTTTATGGCTCAGATTGTTACACAAATTTTGGTTCTCAGACGTGTAACTTCTGTGACCTAGGCCTAGGAGCCAGGAGCTGGGATAGCCGGGGCACGACACAGCTCGAGACCCCCAATAAAGGCCTTCTAGCCTTGTAGAACCTGTGATTGGATTTTTTAGAAAGGGATCTTGGGGGACCTCGAACTCCGGGCGAGAACTGCTGCAATCTTCGCAGCCTCAACTCCTCCTGTCGGCAAGCCCCCCACCCCGAGCCCAAGAAGCACCAAATCCCAAACCCGTCCTCCCTGCAAAACTCTGCACTCTCAGACACTGTGCCCTATAAACCTTAAAACCCCCCTAAACCCCTATTCCCTATGTAAGTTCATCCCAAAAAGACTGTCATCTTACCATCGGCCGACGACAACCGACTGTCCAAGGCTCCATCTGGAGGCCCCCGGAGGAAAGGCCTTACTTCCCCAAAAAGCCAGGGAAATAAAATGTTAAACTGTCAAAAGATTACTAGTAGGATAAAGAACCCAAAAAGTTTAAAACGTTCATAAAATTACTACTAAGTTATCAGAACAAACGCGATTAACAACTTTCAGAAAATTACTACTAAAAAAATTAAGAACCCACAGGGTTAAAAGGTTGGGTATTGGGGATCTAAGAGGCTCTGAAGGAGGGCCAGGCCAGCGTCCCAAGCACCGGCAGATTCGCAGGCAGCGATCGCCTCGATTTGTCCCCAAGAGTTTGGGATTTAGAGTTTAGGGGTTTAGGGTTTAGGGTTTAGGGGTTTAGGGGTTTAGGGGTTTAGGGGTTAGGGCCGTTTAGGGTTTGAGGGCTTATAGGGTTTAGGGTTTAGGGCTTCGGATTTAGGGGTTTAGGGCCGCTTAGGGTTTAGATAGCCTGCATACATTCTAGTATAAGTCATGGAGCCCTGTATTCGTGAGTGGGCTTGTCTGCATGGTAATACCAAACATGAGTTTCTTACCATTCAATTACCATTCTCACC